AACTAGTGCCCTGTGTCGCAAACATGCGCCATGACTTTTCCGACAACCCAGTAAGTGTAAAATAAGATGCTGACATTGCACCAACACCAAGGAGACAAACAAGGAGTTTAAGATTCAGGCACTGAAATACAGGAATGGAGCATTTCAGTAACACAGTCAAGAATCCGCATGGTTAATCCAGCAAAAACAATATCCTCAATGGGAAAAAGCAGCAGCACTTATTTTAAAATTTTGAGAAAATCGTGTGCCCCTTCTAATCATGTTAGCCTATTTTTTATTTTACCAAGTTCAGAAAAAAATCTAATGAAACACATGTGAGGAAATAAGTTTGGCATCCAGATGAATAATCCTAAATAATTCTAATTATTAGATTACCTCATTTATGAAAAGGAAATGAATTTTCCTGAGAGTCTGCCATGGGACAGGAAGTACTGTGGGTGCCAGGACCCTCATCTGAGGGTCAGAAGCTGGTTCTGCTGCCTGTTAGGGCTGGGTTCTTACTTGGTTGGATCACAGCACGGAGTGCACACAACCATCAAACAGACTTCAAAAATTATAAATTCCTATTCTTTAATCCCTATTTTAAAATGTTAGATCCAAATGGAATTGAAAAGAATTAAGTGAGAAATAAGACATAAACACTAGAAACATCTAAGAATAAACCATAGCTGCCAGACTCAAATGGCACAACTGAAATTAAACTGAGCTTTCTTGTACTGAACATGCTTTAGGGCTGGAGGCAGCTGACAATGGCCAGAGCAAGCCCAGCAAGGAGAATAAAAGAACAAGCCACGAGGGGCCAGAACCTAGCTAAGCCCACAGAGAGGAAGCGGGCATGACAATGGGGCAAGTCCATGCAGCCCCTGAGGCCCTGTCAGTGCAGTGACCGCCCAGGAGGAGTGCCTGTCTCCGAGGCCCAAGGCACAGCGGGCTGTTGACTAGACCTAAGCCCCAAAGGTCAGAGACATAGTCCTGGAAGGGTCAGCTCCAGGGCCCAGCGGCCCACAATGGCTAAGGGATATGAGCAGGTCTTAGAGCTTGAGGCAGAGACAAGCTTTCAGAAGGCCCCAGCTCTGGGGAGAGAGAGGAGGGACAGACAGGTGCCGGGGTAACAAGGCCATTATAAACCTCACCAGAAAACTAGTCTTTACACATTGGTTCTCTGGTTCCTTAGTCTGGATGTCCTTTACTGACAACCACAAAGCCCTGGGAACAGCAAAGTCGCAGTGAATAAGGGATTAGTGACAGTCATGGAAGCGAAATACAGGAGTGAATTATATTAGCCAGGCAAATGGTACAACCCAAAGACAAGGACTAGTGACTATGTGGTCTGGCATATGTACATGTCACGTGGCCAGGAGGAACTATCTAAACATTCCATCTGTCTGAACAGACAGGAAATGCGCAGTGTCCAGATAACCCAGCAAACCTGGAGGGAAGGCACGGACGGTGGGTTCCAAACCCAGAAGTTTGACATAAGAGTCTAAGAGCCAGTCACACAGAACATGAGCTTTGCTCATGTACCACCCTCTGCCAGGGCTGTGGGGGTGCAGAGATGACCTGTCTCTGCCCTCAAGGACACAGACTGCCTAGAGAGCAAAGGTGCCTCACTATGCCATGATCCTAAGACAGCGGTTAGACTCTCCTTGAAGGGTCGGTGGGCTGTACGGCCCCGTGGCTGGGAACGTTACTTCTATTACAACGTGCATGAAAATTCGCAGTATGCTGCTGAAACAAATCCAATCGTGAGGAATCAAGTCTTAACTGTATGTACTTAAAAAGCGTCAGGAACATCACATGCATTTAAAAACAAGGTCATCTTACTTGGGTGTTTTGGTTCAACAGCGACCCTCACAATAGGGGTGGCCTCAAAGCTGAGAGGAATGAATGGTGGGCAGGACGGCAGGCTACACAGCGTTGCAGATTTCAGCACGAAGTCTTGAAGGCCCCCGATTCCTGCAGGGAGGAAAAGATCCACAGGGTCAACAAAACATGCGAGATCCTGACTTGACGTTAGAAAAACAATAGCATCAGCCCAGTATACACGTCACAGGAGAAAGAGGCATGGACACTTCCTCAGCGTTCTACTTTTTGCATCTGGGGCTCAGAACAAGGAAAGGAAACAACTGTGCTGACTTCAGTTGACAAAAGGATGTAACGCAACAGGGGCGATGGGATGCCACACGACAGGGCCTTCAGCCTGGCGGAGGGGAGCGGGAACAGGGGCCTTCGAGCACGCAAGCTGGGAGGCAGTTTGGAGTTTTCCTTTTATCGGACCACACAGTATGGCACCCCCCTTGAATACCACCACCTGAATGCATCCAGAATTCACCATCTCGCTACATGAAGGGGTAGCTCCAACTCTAAGAAGAATCTGTATGCTAACACCTGTCTTCCCCATCTCTACACATTCTTAGTTCAGTTCTCCAGAAGTCCACAGAAAACATGCTGAAGTGCTTTGGCCAGTTACTCTTTGGATTTTGAAGGCATCTGTCAGGTCCGTTTAACCTTTCTCTGCCTCACACTGAGATGGCATCAGCTCCTTGAGCTGTTCACCTGATGCACGGTTTCCAGACCTCCTGATTACCAGACCTGCCGTGTGCAGGAGGCCCTCTTCATGCTGATGTTTCCGAGGCACGGCATACAGTCCCTGCGTCCCGGGTACTGACTGCTCATGGTGTAAGATTCCTATCACCGCACCCCGTGGCCCAGCACACAGAGAGGTCTCACCTGGCCACAGCGCCTCATTAACTTCCCCCACGGGCACCATGATGCACCACATCAGGTCTGCCCAAGTTCCACCAAGCCTACCTGAAACAACATCTCCCGTGGGGTCAGGGGTTTCGGAAAGCCCCACAATAAATATTCTCTTTCCAACTTCATCCATCCTGCTCCTGACCCCTGACTAGCAGGCGTTTCCTTCCTGCACACACAGCACATGGTTTCAATGAAGAGATAAAGCTGGTCTCTCCTCTGTGTCACCAGGGACTTGGGCTGCAGATGGCCAGGATATTCTGAACACGGTCTCTTTGAACTTCTGGTTTACATTTTGCTGTTCAAATTACCAAATCTATTCTTGCTACTGAGATATGCCCAGGTTTGTGAGCGTGGTTATAATTCCCCCCCAAAACAATAAAAGAAAAGTCGGGACTACAGTGTTCCTAGTTAAGATTAAGGATGGGAAAAGTAATGCTCCAAAGACAGCAAAAAACTCACCACCTGTACTACATGTCACAGTTTTTACTTCTTTTAAATATAATTTTAAAATCTAGCAAAGAGACCAATAAGATTTTTTTGGGTGAATCACAATACAACGATTTAAAAATCACTTTGAGAATTTCTTGGTATGCTATCAGACAATAATTAAGTGTACGACTTGATTTTTATTTACACACAAGAGTTTAAAACAAAGTTTTTGTTTTTAAAATAATACTATCAAGTACAATTTTGGGAGAGGAAAAAAATAAAAAAGAACAGCATACCCATAATCACAGTTCTAATAATGTCACTATTTTCATTTTGATATTTCTCTTTTCTTCCTCTCCTACTGGCACACATAGTTTATATATTATACATAATGTCCATATAATTTTTTATCCTTTCGCTTTCAATTTAGTTGCCTAAGTAACAATTTTAACAATTAAGGTGGAATAATTCCTTCATATAAAGTACATTTCCTATAGCATTTTTACTGGGACGGAAGCAGGAGGGTGGTGAAGGTAATGTTCCCTCAAGGGCACCACTGCAGAATGTCTAGAAGTGATAGTTCAGGGGGATAAAACCCAAAATTAGCATGGCATTGATTTGTTTCAAGGATTAAAAGGGTGCATGTTTTTTTAAAAGTTTATCGAAAAAGGGCATATATGGCTTAAATTAGAGAGAGAGAGAGAAAATAGGAACATGGGTGTGATAGCAATTTATGAAACACCAAGAATTCTAGCTGGTTTTTATATAAACACCAGTAACCGCTGTCTTACTAAAGATAAATGATCCAAGTCCTCTCTAGTCCAGATTCTTCTCTACACAACAAGTACATGTGATACACAAGTGTGTGAACTCCAGCTCACACACTGGAGAACAGATGACAACACCCAAGGAAATGCGAAGTTCTTCCAGCTGGTACACATAGACCCTTGCCAGGCTGTGCACCACACCCTTCAAATGCTTCTTAGTCAAACATCGGCATTTGCAAACACCGCCAGGCCAAAATGTTTTCCTGGCTCTCTCTTATGTTTCCCTTTAAGGAGCATCTTCTACGTTTCACCTTTTACGATATGGGACTAAAAAAATTGAGAGACGGATGCCTCCTGCTGACTTTTTCCTACTCTCCCTGTTGCACAGGTTGAATCAATCTAGGATGCGGTCACCTTGGCAGGCAGGAGGATGGTGAAATCATTACTGAATTCTAACACTGCTTCCTGGGGACAAGCCCGCTGGCTGTGTGGACGGAGAACGCATTACTATCTTCAGCGAAGTTTGGATTTGTCAAATGTGCTCTCATTGCCGGTATAAAAACATTACTAGAATTAAAAGGAGCTCTGTGGGAAAATATGTGGCTGCTCTAGCAGAAGACCGTCTCCTAATCACCAAAGCTTTCATTTAAGCCAGCGTTAACATTATTACACCCAGGAACCATCAACCTGTTTCTCTTCATCTGTTTAAGCGACCCGAGCTAATGAATCCCTGTAAACCTTCACAGGAAACAGGTACATCCCAGGGACATCTGCAGAGCCTGCGGCCACTGCTTTGGTAAGACACGAGGATTCAGACAGGTTCCCAGGGTGGGAATCTAGGGCCCTTGGTTTGGAAAGACCGCCTGCTCTAGAACCTTCTGTTTGGATACTGAAGAAGCCCATGTCTTCTGCTCCAAATCGCAGGCCCTTATTCTGTACCTTTCCCCAAAGCTCCGACTCTGCTCTGACTCCACTACCAAGGGTCTCAGGGGATCCGCGCACTTTCTAACTCTTGTCACAGAGTTAGGTAGGCAGGTAGGTACCAAAATATAAAACAGGCCTTTTCCAAGCCTGTGTGGCTGGCATCTCCACAGTCGAACAGGATTGCTTAGCTAAGGTTTTCAGAAGATGGTCAAGTCTGTCCAGCACGCTTGCTACACAGGTCCATTAATCACCTGCCCTTTGGCTTCTTGGTGTTACAGGAGGCTCTAGGGAAAAGTCGTGTGATAATGATGTCACTATGTCAGATTTCTTCTCAGAGGGACAGATGGAGCTCGTAACAGATAATAACAGCTCTTAAGCAACTTACATCAAGATCTGGGGCCCTCTTCTCAAAAGACAGAGCACAATAAATGCAAAAATTATACTTAAAGGTATTAAAAAAAATTTGTATTTTTAGAGATGTGTAGGCTTGCTATCTTTGTCTATACTCAAAAATAGGCAGAAATTTGCCCTCCTGTGTCTTAAACTAGGCAAGAGTTGTAACTGGGTGTCACTACGGGGTCTCCATTTCTGCCCCAAGGCAGGATCATAGGGGAGCCAGAACACCTCCATTCCTACAGGAATAGACCGACCCCACAAAGCCTGGCTCTCACCATGGGAATTACACAGTTGGGAGGTCTAGGACTAAAACAGCGGAAGACATTCCATCTTGGACCTGGCAGCAGAGCAGAGCACCTGAATGCTGCCTAGTTATGTATTCTAAAGCAAATAAAAGGGCAGGCAGTCAGAGCCTTCTGGTTATCTCTTGGTATGTCACACCACGACAAACAGGATCTACAGAGGCTAGTCCAGGGGGAAGGAGGTAGCACATAATCAATTCATTAAAATATTTAAAAATCATGTTTTCTATTAGAACAGAAATAAATGTGAAGAACTGACAGGAGTAAGCTGTGTAACAGTGGGGAAGGGAATTCCCGGCCAGGCACACAGCATCTAAAAGCCCTGGGGTGTTCTGGGAACCCCACGTAGTTTGCACTAAGGAGGGGCTGGGAAAACACAAGGCTGAAGGTAACAGAAAGATTATTAAGGGGCTTGAATACCACACTAGGTTTAGACATCTCTCTGAAGGCCACAGGGGTGGAGGGACGTAGATGAATTAGATAACTGAGGGGGAGCTGGCTAGTCTTGGTGGCTAGTAGTAGCTTTTGGAGCCTTTTCTATTTGGTGTACAAGCTTAAAAACTAAGAAAGTCATGTTTTCAAATAAGCGATACATATTTATTCAACTTTCTGATAGTCTGTCTGCGATTTAGTTTTAAGGCAAATAGGCACTTCATAAAGTTTCTTCAATGAACACGTGACCACGAGCACAGTTCTGTCCTCAGAGCTTAAAATCTGAAGGGGAACAAAGGGGCGTAAAAAGGCAATTGTCATATGACGTGATACATGTTGTAATGGGAAAAGTACATGGCTTGTTCACGTGGAGAGAGAAAGTGAAAGTTACAGACTTCCTAGAGAAGCCGACATACAGGACCATGGGGCCATCTATGCAGATGTTGTGGGAGGAGGATGTGGAGGTGGGGGAACCACACCCCCCGAGGCCCAAGTGAGAAGCCAGAGCCACTGTGGAGCACAAAAAGGACAGAAGAGACATTTCCATGCCACGCACTTCCACTTCCCTGGGATCCCACAACTGCCATCATTTTTTCTCTTTAGTGAACATGTTTTCTTATTACGTTCCATTTGGAATCTGAGGAACCTGATTATATTGGGTTGTCGGAAAAGTCATGACGCATTTTCGCAACGAAAAACATAGAAAAAATACGTCATGACTTTTCCAACAACCCAGTAATTATGGCTCTAACCTCATGCCAGCTACCTAACCTCTCCTAAGTTTTAGTTTCCACGTACACAACACACAAGTAATACATGTGGTACCAGCACACAGTTACAGTAGACAGTCAGAGCAAGTACTCAGTAAGTGCAGTGGTGGCCATGGTGGGGTAACAGTCATCGTAGTAGCTGTTTTACTACTAGATATGTAAATTTTTATACCTACTAT